GTCTCGGTGTAGTTCATCTCGCCCGTCGTCGTGTTGGACACGGGGAGCGTCAGGTTCAGCGTGAACGAGCCGGACGACACCGTCGCGCCCGCGGTGAAGGCGACGACGTCCGCGTCGGGAAAGAAGACGGAGAAGTTGCCCGCGACGTCCTGGCCGTAGGCGGCCTCGATGGTGACCTCCTGGGTCTCGAAGATCTCGTCGGCCGTCGACGTGAAGACCTGGATCTCGTCGACGTGCAGCGCGCCGAGCTGGAGCGTCTGGATCTCGTTCTTGTGGATCGCCGTCTCCTGCGTGACGTACTCGAGCATCGGCGGGACCGTCGCGGGCGTGCCGAGGGCGGCGGGCACGCTCCAGTCGCTGTAGCCGAGCTCGTTGCGCGCCGCGACGCGGACGCTGTAGGGCACGCCCGTGTGGAGCGACTCGAGGACGATGCCCGTCGCCGCGGAGCCCTGGACGACGTCGTCGACGACGGTCGCGGCGACGCCGTCCGCGAGGTACGCGCCGTCCGCGAGCATGGCCGGCTGGTCGCCGAGCGCCTCGTCGAAGGCGACGGAGAGCGCCGAGCCCGAGAGCTTGTAGATGGACAGGGCCGTGCCGTTCGGGCCGAGGAACTGGCCCGCGGCCGTCGCGTCGTCGCGCGAGCCGAGCGGCAGGAGCGCGTCCGTGAATCTCACGGTGCCCGCGCCCGCGCCCGCGGACACGACGTCGGCGACGACGTACTCGTCGTTGTTGTCGCTGAAGGGCCGCGCGGAGCAGTTGCTCTTGTTGACGTAGATCGTCGGCGGCTGCGAGACGCCGACGAGGCCGTCGAAGTAGACGCTGTAGACGTAGCCGCTCGGCGCGTTGACGACGTCCGTCTTGCGCGTGACCGTGACGCCGTCGGCGACGTCGAGGAACTCGGACATGAGCAGGTCGATCTGCTCCTCGACCTCGTAGTCCTCGGCGTCCCAGGCGAGGCACTCGCTGCGGCGGCGCGTGGAGCACGGGTGCTCCCACTCGGCGCAGGCGCTGAGGTTGCCGACGCCGCCGATGCTGAGCGCGTAGGCCGGCTCGCCGG